TGTTTTTGTGTTTTGTTTAGTGTTCTTCCCTTTTTATATACGCTTTTATAACCCATTAAATGACAATTTTTTTGTAATTTCAGTTGGTTGATTTATAGATGTAGGGTTGGATATGTGCACTGTGGCATCCCCTCCCCCTGTTACGTCGAGTGGAGCAATCCACACTGACGTCACACCCCGCCAATAGTGCCCGACAAGGCACTGCACGGGAAATCACTCTCACAGACGAACGAGACGCTTAACACTAGACGTAGGCGAAAGACGTTCTCCTTTGGTGTTTAATATATCTTTAAATATTTCATCCTTCATTGTTTAATAAATCATTTATATCATCCTAAGGTTGTAGCCATTTTCTCATATATATGCCCCAAAAGTTGTGTAACAGTATAATTATTTTTAAATGATGCTATTTTGTTTTGAAAATATTCGATATTTTTGAAAAATATTATATTTATTATATTTATATATTATAACGAGTGATGTGTGTATACGTAACATTCCAAAATCTTCAAACGGGGATCGTAAAAGTTAATGGGGTATAACTGTTTATATCTCTTCAATTGTGTTTGGTGGAATTTTGTGGTTCTTGATGTTCTTTTTTCTGTCGTGGTCTCTGTAACTGGAGTTTTTCTGTATTGTGGATTTCCATTAAATAAATACTTAAAAGTAATATGTGTGGAGTCACTTAAAATTCGAATGTATAATTTTATGCTGAAAGTCTACTTTTCTTTCTTAACAGTTTTTTTCCCCTACGTTTTATAGTGTTAAAATCTATGTCCCGCATTTTATGTATTTCATACGAAGCTTGCTGAAATGAATTGAAAACCATTCATGGTTACTATAAATTAAATGATATACGCTTAGTAATAAATTGAACAATTGTGTTTGAAATATTAAAGAAAAAAATATATCAATTATCAATGGGTTACATTCATGTGACTTCATTGTCAAATGATAACTGCAATTACGTGTTTCCAGCCAATTTTTATAAATTCTTGTGCTTTCATAGTCACATGATAAATATAATCGCGTGTTTCCAGCCAATCAGTTCATGCGTTTCGATGTTGCCAACTTTAGATTTTTGCACAAACTTTTTCTTTTAAAATGTACATATTGTGATTATACATTTGTACATTTATTCAAACTATTGACTATTTCCATTCCACTAAAAATGCTATTTGTGAAGGAGGACGCAACACAACCTTTCTTTCGAGTACTTCAAAACGGACTGCATTTCCACTTTCTTTGGCTGTGGCGGTCGCCCCTTACACCTCGAATTACACTTGGGGCTCCGGCGCGCAGATGGAGTGTGATTTTTCTCACAGCCATCGGGTGTCGCTGCGATGCCAGATGAAAGGACCCCGCAATATTTTAAGGGTGCACGTGGGGATATGGATGGCTTAATGTTATCCTCCTCCGCATAAGGAAGCCCATTTTGCAGCTGCGTGGCAGGAAAACGTTACTATATTTATCAACAATAATAATGCACTTAGATAAATAAAATGCACTTGAATTAGAAGTACACATATAAAAAAGGGATTTTTTAATTTTGGAAACTTTTTGAAGGATCTTTATATTTTTATACTTCTAATTAAATTTTTATCTAAATTTTACAAGTAGAGCGAGTACAAATCTGTTGTCAGTCTTGAATGGAGTGCACGTGATTTCTTTTATCACGTGATTGTCATGAATTTAGCCCATCAAGTTTCTTTTTTCCCCGAAGGGAACTTTTACATCATTGGTAAAAATATTAAATTTAAAAATTTATTGTTAATTTTTTTCTATTTAATTTTTGACCCTATTGAATTTGCCTATTTGTCATATGCTAGTTTTAAATCTTACTACTTTGGTCTGCAGCACTTTTTATTTCCAATTATAGAAAGGAAAAAAATTGTTAGGTAATTCTGTTTTTATTTAATATCTTTAAAAAAAACTTTTCAAAAATGTTTATCTATCCAATTAAATGTTTGAATTGGATTGTTATTATTTAATTTTTTCTTATGTTTAAAAAATCTTTTTTTTCCATATATTTATCATATAAACTTACATATTTAGGATATTGCATGCCTCTTCAACCGATTATTAAAATTTGAAAAATAAGAGAATGTATTTTATCATGGATTGATGATGTTTTATTTTAATACTGTTTTCCATTTTTATCTCTCTCTGCAAGAATGGCGTGAATAACTATTACTAGTTTATTGATAAAGTCTACTGCATTCAAAAACAAATTAAAAATAAATATTTATATTATTGTAAAATATTGTTTGTTTCAAATTTCGATAAGTATTTTGATTTATAAACAATAAATAATTAAGGGTAACTTTTTTTAAAACTTCTGTTTAAAATAACAAGGTGTTTTTTTATTTATTTATTTACTTTTTGGAAATTACATTTGCTGGATTCTAGAAACCGGTTATCACAAATCCAGATTAGTTTATTTTCCTTAATTTAATTTCATTTATTTGCTGATCAATGTTATTATATTAGTTGCTGACAAATCATTTGAAAGTGTTAGTAATTTATTTAATTATGTGATTAATGTTGATGAAAGATTCAGAAGAAAAAGATTTAAAAGTTAAGGTCTAAATTCACAAATTTGCATTTCAAGATTCAATAATTTTTTTAAAATAAATTTTTGAAAAAATAATCTTTAATAACACATTTGACGTCATAACTTTAATGATACTTCTAATGAAATAAACAAGAGTGACGTTTAAAGAAACCAGCAAAAAGTTTAAATCTGCATAAAATCCAAGAAAATTAAATTTAAAAGTTTATAAAAGATCATTATATATGATAGTATTACAGTCGACTCTCGCTAATTTAAACCTTCGATAATACGAACCTCTCGCTAATTCGAACTATATGCTCAACCCCTTGAAAAACTCTTGATATTTCGAACTAAAACAATACGTTTTGATACACTCAATATTTCGCAGTAAAATCTGTGGCTGGCCAGAATACAACACGCGATAATTCGAAGTGATCTAATAAAACTCGACAATTCAAACGCTCACTGTCATGTAGAGTCCAGAAGCAAACAGGTTGGAACTTACATGTTTTGTGTTGCATTGTCTCTGCTAGTCTTCCCTGTAACGAAGCCCCTTTTATGACCATCGGAGTTGACTCCGATAACTCTGACGTGGCTGCGGTTGCCAAGTGGTCAAGGTATCGGATCATGGCTGGCATGTCATGAGTCTCCAGCTCAGGTTGTCGTCCGCGTCACTTGACCATGGTTCAAAATTACGCGGTCCGTCGCCAAAAGCCCTAGTGTATAGCTGAACAGAGCGTCGTTAATATTCACTCACTCACTTATCCGATAACTCTGAAAGAAACTAAAATAAAGTGTCACTAAATAAACTAAGCAACTTTTCCCTTCAAAACCATGTTGGTGTGGACGCTTTTCAAGCTTCATTTATTCTAGAAAAAATCTATTGACAAAGTTAGATTGAATGCTTTAAAACAAAAAAGATATCAGATTTTATCGGCAAAAAAAAATGTTAAGTATGTATTTTTTTAATAGTTGTTTTTAATACATAAATGTATTCTTTTAATACAGGACTTTTAACTTCTGTGTAATATTTATATTGTATAACATGTGTGTGTGTACTTTTTAAAAGTATTTTAAAATAATTTTATACATATGTACACAATTGTTGTTTTATTACGTAGTTTCAAATTTAAATGTGTTAGAAAAAAACTTCTCTTCGAGTATTTTGGGCTTTTTTGCCTAGCCTTTTGATAATTCGAAGTTTTTCATTGGTCCTTTCGACTTCGTATTATCGAGAGTCGACTGTATATGTCAAATTGTGTATGAAAAATATTTCTTTTTCATACAGAAATGCATCAAAATGTATTACGCTGTACGCGTACAAAATAAAAATTGTTGATGTAATATATTACTTTAATTCTCCCTCGTATAAAAAAATATAAATCGAGAAACGTTCCAAAGTTTTAGTTTAACATTAATATTAACGTAACTTAAATAAAATAAACACTAATGCTCTATGTTTGTGAATACAAAACGAAAAATCAGATACAATATTGGAAAGATTTCTACTTTTAACATATTTAAAAGCATTTGTACTTCCAGTGTCAATTTTAAAAATATATATATATCGTTATAAGCGTTTTACACAGTAAGAAATTATATAATCGCAAGTTGTAACATAAACATTCATTTACATTCTTTTTGTTCCCAAAAATTCAGTTTACGTCAAACATGCTACACTGACAACTTGTGACTGTCGTATTCAACATCAATTCATTCAGAACATCAATGAAACTACTAGTGCCAACTGCCTTTTGTTACTTTTTAGTCATTCATAAACATTAGTTGTAGCAGTTAAGCATCTTTCATGATTGAGCTGTCATTGTGGGAAATATTTCAAGGAAATGTATTGGTGGAGTTACAGGAAATTAGTAGAATATGGGTGAACAATTCACACGGAAGGTATTTAAAAGGGTTTAAACTTAATTTTCTAAGCATACGTGATTTAATCAGTTGTGTAATACCGTTATTCAATTCCTACTATTAGTTCCCTATATATATATATATTTATATTATAATATAATTTTTTTTAATTTTTTTTTTATATTATATAATTTTTAAAATATTATAATATTTAAAAAAAAAAATAATTAATTAATTAAAAAAATATAAAAAAAAAATTAATAACAGCTATTTCATTAATTAAATACTATTTAATATTTATATTATTCATTCTATATTATTTTATTTATATTATATATAATATATATTATAAAAAAATATATTATATATACATATATATCTTGTTCAAATTTTCAATCGTTAATAAAATACTTTCTATTTATCCATTCAAATTCAAATACATTTTTTAAAACTTGTACTCTGGATAGCACTTGATGTTAATACAAATTTTTTAAAAATATTAATTCATTAATTAATGAATAAATAGTAACAAACAAAAATAATAGTCCAACAGCCTATATAGAAAAGAAAACCGTCGTAGAGTGTCTCTGTAGGGCAATAGATTAGCGCGTTGAACTTCTAATCCAAAGGTCGTGGGTTTGAATCCCACCTGGGATGTCCTAATTTCTGAGAATATGATTTCTTTTTTACTATACTATTTTATTAGAATAATTACATTTAATAAATTAATAAACAGAAACAAACCAAAAAAAATAGTTCAACACCATATATAGAAAGGAAAATGGGAAAATTGTAAGGAAAATCGCTTTCTATTTTGTCACTTAATATTGTAATTCTGTTCATATGGAAAAACAAATTTGTATTAATTGTAACTATTTAATAAAAAGTAACTAAAGTAAAATTTTTATTTGTTGACCTGAGTAAGAATTTACTTAATTTTTTATATTACTTTTTTTAAAATTTTAAAGTAAACCTCTTTTTTTATGTATGAGAGAATAGGACATCGAAGAAGAGATATAGATATCTTCTTAGATCTATTTTCTTGCTACTTTCAACTTGCATCACACAGTTATTATTTTTTTGTGAATTGAATTATGCTTTTTTCCTCCTCTCTCTTTTTTTATCGTTAATTTTTTGCTACAATTATATGAATCTCTGAAGAGAATTTAGGTATCTGACTACATTTGAAACGACCATTTTGAAAAATTGATATTAAGTGTCATTTGCATTAGAATATACATATAAAACTGTTTTAAGGATGTTATTACTAAAACAAATTATTTATATGCAATTTTTTTGTCAAAAAAATGAAGAAAGAAGGACATATTTTCAAAACATTCTTCTTTTATGAAAACTACTGCAGTAATAATAATGTTTTGCCGTTTTACAAAGCTAAAACTTCTTTACAGAGACTGGACTAGGATTTTTGAAATATATGATTTAGAATTGAATTTTTTGATATTTTAAAATATTAGAGCAGAGAAATTTTTTAACAAAACATTGGACATTTCAATAGATATTTTCTCTGAAATAATCTGAATTTTTCAAAAATCCCAGTCCTGGCTCTATTGAGAAATCTTAGCTATATACATAGGCAAAATATTATTGTTGAAACATTTTGTCTAAAAGAAGATTATTTTGAAAATTGTCTATTTTTTACTTTATTTTTTGCTAAAAAATTGCAGTTAAATAATTTTTTTATAGGAAAACAATATTCGTAAAAAACAATTTTATACGTATATTTCAATTAAAGTGACATTAAATATCAGAAAATTATTCATTTATATGATTTTGCAAAATCAAGTTTCCGATCGTAGTCAGTTACCAAGTTAATATAAATTCTGTATTTGATATTGCAGGGATATATTAGTCGAAAACGAATTAGTATCTTGGGCCGTTAGTGTCTTATGTTATAAAAAGTCAAAAGACGGTCAAAATGGATATGCAGCTATGTTTTAGCCCTCACATTTTCGTAATTTACTTAAACTGCTAATGAGTGAAAGATTGAAATAACTATAGAGAATCTAAATAAATTTGAGTGGTAGATAAGAATTCCAGTAATTTTTTTGAATGTTTTCATATTCCAGTCTTGTTTCCACTAGATATATTTTTATGGATTTTAAAAGATTACAGCTCAGTGAATCTTAATTGGTTTCTGCAATTTCTGATTGTTGTGTTTTTGCGATGCATGGATATGTGAACGATGCCGAGAGCCAAAGTATCAAATGTGTGTCCATATGATCACATTATGAGATCTGTCATCAATAGGTTATATGAAATATTCTTTTAATTAACCTTAAATTTATCTAAATCCTCATCTATCGTCCGCTATTCAAAAGACAATTTAAGACAATTCATTCTTTTTAAAAAAATTAAAATAATTCATTAATTATTTTTAACACAGTAAAACTGTTTATATGTTTATCAATTTTTGAATTTTTTTGTTTGATTTAGCTTTAGAGAGGTTAAACAATTAGAAGGATGTATTCTGTAATCACATAACTCTAAAAACATCTAAATTATTTGCATATTAATAACATCAAAATTAAATGACTTTTAAGCGATATTATTGTATAAACATAAAAAACCCAAATACATATCGATAAAAATAAAATGATTGGTTTTGTTATTATTGGATTTTATTGAGAGGGCTGCATTTGATGAAACGTGAGGAACTTCGGCCGTCTTTTCTCCTATTTTCCTACAACAGTTCAAAACGAATGTATAGACATATTGCTAATAAGTCTACAAAATGTAGAAGTAGAGACTATAGCAAAATTCTGGGAGCTTAACTTTATCTGTGTGTGGGTGTGGCGATATACTATGCTTTTGAAAGAAGGCTTAGAGTATCGTATCGGAAACACTTCGAACATAGATAATCACAATCAGTTACAGTACGACTTCCGTTATGCAAAGAAGAACAGGCCAAGGCTCAAAGTCGTAGCCCAAAAATACCACCACAAGTCGGAAGCTGGACTTGAGTCGATAATTCAGCTAGCAACCGGCCACCAATAGATAATTCAGGCGGTCATTATTTTCGATGTTTGGCGCGGAAGATAAATGATGGGTTCCTGTGAAGTTTTTCTGCTCCACTTTTATGCTGGCAGGGTCCGTAAAATACGAGCTCGTGGGCTGGGAGCTGGTCACGTGCCTTGGATGGTGTCGTGTTGGACAACCATCAGTGGGAAATGTCCGTTCCTTTTCTAAATGTGGAAGTGGTTATTTCGGCTGCATGCCGTTTCCTTGCTTTTTTATGCGTTGTTTTTGGCCATCGTGTGTGGATGAAGTATTGAAATAAGTAACGCAATGGCATAACTTGAGTTTTTGTTTTTCGGTACTACTTACAGAAATTTTTGTAAAGGTTTGCTCATATAATTCCAAATAATAATGTTGGAACGCGATGATTTTTTATAAGGGCTTGTAACGCGATGTGATTTTTAATTTTACATCACGCATTTGAACTTGGTTATTTATGGTTATAGAATTCGGGATGTAAGGTTTCCCAACACGAGCGTGCATTTTAATTTAATTTTATGCAAACGTTTTCCGTATAATTTTCTGCTCGTGTATTCAAGCTGTTTTGAATGCTAAAAACTAACTGTAAAAATATTCGCATTTTGTTGAAAGGATGCCTTAAATATCTGAAAATATTAATACAGTTAAAGTAGGGGTGGGCAAAGAGCGGCCTGTAAAATTTTTTTTGGCCCGTCAAGACAGAAAAACAAAATAGATAGAAAATGTTCTCCATATTTGGATCAAAATATATTAGTGAGCCAAGTTTTTCTTTCATGCAGATCAGCAAAATTAAAATAGATGCAAGTTGGCCGACATTAGTTTGCAGACTGTGATAAAAATTTCAACAAGCACTCCGATTTAAAATATATATATATATATTGTTGTTTCCTATGCCACCTGATTTGAGTGGCCGCGGTAGCCTAGTGATCAAGGTAACGGACTAGTGACTGGCTTGTCATGAGTTCAAGCCCAGCACCATTGAAGACCCGCTGTGTAGGGGGAAAATGCACGTTAAATCTGTCGAGAGCTTGAACGTCCTCTCGTTGGTGTGGTGTGATAGTTATGAGAGGGGGGTGCCAGCTCAGGTATCGTCCTCATTACTTGACCATGAATCAAAATTGCGAGGTCCATCGCCAAAAGCCCCCGTGTAGCTTATCAGTGCGACAAGAAAATTCATTCATTCGCTGGACTGTTATCAGATCCAGGCATAATTTATCATGGCAAGGGGCTAGATGTACTCCTGTAGTTAGCCGTAACCTTGAGCACCATACAGGTGTCAGTATGATTTAGCTCGGTTTCGCACCAATTTTGAGGGAGAACACCCTGCGAGGGGTCAGGGGCTTCCTAACTGTCTTCCCCTTCGACCAACCTCACTAGTGGACTTACGGCTCGTCGGCTATATAGAGTACCACCATACCACAAAGATTCTATACATTTACAAATATCCATGCCTTATTCCGGATTGGAACCCAGACCCTACGCCATAATAGTCAGCGTCGCTAACCACTATACCGGATGGGCGACAGAAGGGTGTGACAGGGTACATTTGTCTCATTCAGCTGATTCTAAAATTAAATTTGCTTGTAGCTATTGATTGTATGAAATAAGCACAGAAAATAAATTGAATAAAAATGCTACTATTTTATTGAACTTATATTTGTAGATTTTTATGGTACAATTTATACCTAGTCAGAGATGCAAAGTTAACTTATGAATGCAATCATTTTAAAAAGGTGCGTCCCTGTGGTATCCTCTGCTGCTGCAATGTGGCTCTTGGAACCAAAAAAATTGTCCGGTCCTAAGTTAAAGGAATCATGAATTGTATTGTGTAATGAGTTTGTAAATAAAAATGTGATAGTGATTTGATGTTCATTTATTTATTTACATTGAGCCTTTGGAAGTTCTTGGAAAAATCCCTCTTTTTTTATGTATAAAAATATATTTGTCGTTTGTGTGTTAACCAAAAGCAATTACCTGAGAAACACATGGTAATTTTTATGTTGCGCATAAAGTTAATAAAGTACGACGTAATTCCTAACGGAGCATTTTATTTTTTATAATTGATAGCAGAAACTTACTACTTCCCCTTTGAAAAATCTTTTTTTTTATCACCACTGGATGAGGAAAAAAACCCACATTTTTCCAACACTTAATTCATGGAACAAAATTCATAAGATTAAAAATGACATCAAACATCTAATTTTAGATCAGTTAAGAGAAAAAACGAAATTGGGGCTGTGAAATGTCAATCTTTTAAAAGAACTTTTTTTTTTGTAATCCTCCATTATGTCGCAAATATGCAATTACCATCAACGAGGAAAAGAATTTCAATCATCGTCTACTCCATTAAGCCGTGGCAACATCATTCAGAAATTGAAGCATGTTGATTTGCGCTACAAAACAGGTACTTGAAATTGCTTCTTACGCTGGCAATCGTTTATCAAGTTCATTATAGCCCACAAAGTCAAAACAATCCGAAGTACAATTGCTGATCAATGGTGATTAAGCAGTACGTTTACTACAGTCCGTTAACATTTCTACAGTCATGCATCGTTATAAGTTACTTAATTGCTGCTTTCGGCGCGATTTTTCAATCTTTTTCCATCTTTCGAAACTTCCTGTTGATTATGTTTTACATTGAA